ATTTGCTTATTGGGTCTACTGAGTAAATGGAGATGTATGTGGGCCCTATGTGTGTGCATTTCCATCTTGCATTTTCATCCCCTTTTCTTTCTTGCAAGATGGAAATGCACACAACAACATTCTAGAAAATAGATACCTGAGGAAGGTAGAAGGTATATGGCTGAAACATTGTGGAAAAGAAAGTTGGCAAATTTACTCAAAAGAAAATCACATACAATGGTTAAAACACCCCATCTAATAAAATCAAATAACACCATCATATTTAACATTTTCACTACTGTGGATTTACTTACATATCTTTAGGAAACTAACATTGCCTGCATATATATACATTTTGCAGGGCACCTCGAGGCGGTGTAATGGTTAACAAGCTTCTCTCGCTAGAACAATTACGACTGAGCAGTGAGTTTGATCCTCACTGGGTACCTTATAATTTTGGCCTTGTGCCACATCTAAGCTATGCTTGGAAAATCACTAAATATATTAGGCCACTTCAAGTGGTGTAATAGTTAGCAAGCTTGTCTCGCTAAAACAGTTACGACTGAACAGTGAGTTCGATCCTTACTGGGTGTCCCATACTTTTGGCCTTGTGCCACATCTAAGTGATGCTTGGAAAATCAATATATATATACATTTTCCAAACATACTCATAATGTGTCTTTAGGAAAATTCCATTGCCTACTGCTGATATATAAAACATGCTTATATGTTTTTAGGAAATTAATGCTGTTGACACATATATACATTTTCAAGACATACCCCATATGTCTTTTGGAAACTAACATTGCCTGCTGTTGATATATATATATATATATATATATATTTTCAAGAAATACTCATTTCCATTGCTTGCTATTGATGTATATATATATTTCCAAGACACCATGGAATGTCAGTTCTTCGTGTTTGTGCTATAGACTAGCTTGTGCTATTTCCAAACCATTCTAGACATATAGTAGCATATAGTTTAACCTGTTTTGTGACTCATTTTTATTATATTATGTTTTGGTGATATCAATTATTTTAGTCTCTATTGCAGAGTATCTAATAAAATCCAAAAATGATGATGCCCTTGAAAAATTTTTGTCAGAATCTTTGTAGTCATGTATTTCCAGTAGATAGGTTCACACTCCTCCCTAGACTTTTGAACAGAAATAAAGGTTTATCCTTTGTCTCCTGTTTAGGATTAAGTTTCCGTTCCTTCTAAAGTCTTCTCATTCATTTTCATTCCCAGTAGTCTCTTGTGTCTTAGTGGTATTATCACTTTGCTTGGAGGTGAATTGATTTAAAAGAAATATAGATATCGCTTGTCTGTTTAAGATTGGGTTTCCAGTTCCTTCTAAAGTCTACTCACTCTCTTTTTCACTCCCACTAGCCCCTTGAATCTTAGTGGCATTATTGCTTTGCTTGGGGTGAACTGATAAAGAAAAAAAGGCAATTTCTTAATTTTATCAAAACAGGCCAGCACAGCCAGGTTATAACAATGCAGCAGTGAAAGTGTTAATTTGCTTAAAAAAATAATAAGTACTTTAAGGAATTACTATATTTCCAAGATAAAATCAAGACTATTGAACTCTGAAAAAACTTTCATCCAAACATCCTTCAAAAAAAATGAACAACCAGACTCCATTTTCTTTATCACCTGTGGTGATCTCTAAACAAATTTCTTAATCTCATTCATCACAGAGACAACCTGTTTTCAGCAACAGTTCTTACAGAACTGACAATATATGAGCACAATTACAACTGATTATTAAATAAAAAAAGTCAAATGAGAGAAATCTTACTAATAGATAAGTCATTAGTTGTCAAATCTTGATTGTCATTTGAAATTCCCTTTCTTCATTATCAAGTCAACAATTAGACATTAAACTACCGCAACCTCATGCTGCAGCCATCAACCACTGTAGAAGGACAAAATGAACTGTAAAACTATCAAGGCTTTTGCGTTTTCAGTTCATTAACAGACAGTAGGAAATGAAAGCGGTTCAATTTCATCTTACTGATTTAGAAAAGTTAGAAACTTGAAATTAACAATTAACTGAAACCTGCCTTGGCAATTGCTCCCAGAAAGTAGCAAATACTTGTTGTAGTACTCTGATTTCTACAGCTTAGTTCATTTTGCTTAGCTTTGAAATTTCAAAATCTTTCTCATATTCTTTGATTTTAAGGCAGAGAAATTAAATTTAAAAAGATCAAAATTAACAAATTTAAATATTAAATAAGATATTAAAATTTATCCAATATCAAAATTAAAAGTCTGTATCGAGTTGCTGGTGATAAAACAATTTAATGAGATGGATGCCATTGCATTTTCTCAATTAACTTTGAAATAATTGACATTTTAGTGCCGAGAGCAATGTGGACATCTTTTTGAACATCCTGCTGATTTTTCAGAATTCTGACTTTATTTGAAGTACAGATGGCAATCCTACTTTACAATGTTAGGTAATCACAAATCGAACAACTAACTTGTGTGTGTGTGTTTTAATTGAATTGCCATATTTAGAAATGTCTAGATTAGTGATGCCCCCAAATTTTGTAATGATTTTAATTTCAAAATACTTTTTTTTAGATGTCAAATTTCTTCTTTCAGAAACAGTAAAATAAAAATAAAAAAATACCTTGTTTGGCACACTTTTCTTGTATTCAGCTGCAACCCCACCAAAAAAAAGCAAACTGCTCTATGCATCTAGGGCACTTTGATATGGCGTAAAGTTAGCAAGTTTATCTTGCTAGATCAATTATGACTGAGTAGTGAGTTTGATCCTTACTAGATGCTCCATACTGTCAACCTTGACAGTATGAAGCTATGATTAGTAAATCACTATTTAGTGCTGTGCACCACAGTTTAAGAATCTCTCTTCTAATAGGAGCATGCAACCTTTGGATGACCCGTCATAAAAAGCTGCCTTTAGTTGGTATACCTCATGTTATACGAATAAGATTAACCCACATAAAAAAAGACATGGGGGGGGGGAAACTGTGGTCAGCCATCTTAATTTGTATGAATTGATGTCCAAATAAGAGAAAAAAAATTTACAAAAATTGTGAAGTTGTGGAGAGTCATGATCACTCCTAACCTGAATAAAAAAATGAAGAAATGAATGGATGGCAGAACTGGGATAAAAAGGGATGGTAAAGAATAAAAAATTACAAAAGTTAGGAAGTTGTAGAGAGCCATGACAACCTATGACCTGAAGAGACTTGTCCTCTAAAATAAAAATAATATTTCCAATTATGTATACTGACAAGGAACAAAAGTCTATTGAAATTTAAATGTTTATTGCAGGGAATAAATGCTTTTTCATTGGAAAGTCTGCAGGTCAATTAGCATATTGCTGTATCTTTATATCTATTTGTATATATACACAAATAAATATATATGCATGTATATATGTGTATATAAATATGTATTTGATTATGTGTATTTATCATCATCTCCTTGACTTTTGTAATCATAGGGCAGATCTGAATGTAGAAGCCATGCTAACTCTTTTCCACAACGATCTATCAACGGCATCCATCAGCAATTCTGGTACAGTTATACCTGTCCATTGTTTGACATTGTCCAAGAAGTTTTTGCATTGACATCCTCTTCTATGTTCACCTTCAACGGTGCCTTGCATGATGGTCTTGCACAGGCTGTCATACCTTGTAATGTGTCCAAACTACGCTGTTTTTCTCCATTTGACAGTGGCATCAAAACTTTCAATCCTTTTTTGCACAGTCATTGGTTTTTTGTTCCCAACAGAAAATGACAAGCAGTTTTCTCATGCATTTGTTCTCAAACACTTGGATCCTTCTCTCTGTATCTGCCAACAGTGTCCATGTTTCACATCCATATAGGAAAATGGATACTACCAGCGATTTGTACACTCTCTACTTTGTTTGAAAGCTGATTTTGTTCCTGCATATTCTTGTCAATTTGGCCATCATTACCATGGCTGCAGCAATCCATGTGTATATTTCTGAGTTGCAGGTACCATCTTTAAACAAGATTGTGTATTTCTATGTGTGTGTGTGCGTGTATTTATATATATGTATAAATATGTATGCAAGTATGTGTATTCATATGTAATGCATACATATACAGTATTTGTGGATATATATGTAACCTGACTAATATATACGTTGCCTTATTTTTTATAAAGGACTTCTTGGTTGACAATTTTTCAGCACCCCTCTCCTCTAAATTGTGTTTGCAAACACACACACACACACACGCACACAGAGTCTCTATTTCTTATATAATTACAAAGTTTGTGTTTTTATCCAAAATAAAGTTCACCAGATTATATTCATCTATTAACATCTTTTAAGAAAAATATGGTTTTTGAAAATAAATTCAATTTTGCAATCAAGTCTCCTGATGAGTGTATGCAATCTCCATGAAACTCAAAGTAGAAGCAAGAACATTTAATATTATACATATAAATGTGTGTGTATGTGTGTATGCGTATACACACACACACGAGATACCTGACTCACTTTCCAAAAACTGATAAACTTAAAGATTTTTTTAATTAATTCCTATTTCCACCTGAGAGCTTTTCAGCACATCTTACATTTAAAATGTAATATGTATTCAAATATATGTGTCTGAATGTGTGTGCTTTTAGAAATATATATATAAAGCAATTAAATAACTACATGGAAAACTTCTGTATAACACATTTTGTCCTCTAAAAGGACTTCATCGGATTAAAATAATAAATACATGTTGATTGATTGATTTGGTTTTATGGCTTATCAACCTTTTTAATGTTATTTAAAGCCGAAACATATTTTTGGATTATAAGAATTTTTTGAAGATGATAATAATTTCCTGACACAAGTCTTACTATTTAACCAATAGCTGAGAGGAGGAGAAAAGTTGGATTCCCAAAGGTATTTGCATGTAAGTGAATGTAATAAATCCAATTAGAACTTGAACTTAGGTCTCTGATTTCTCATTTCAAACTGTTATTCATTACATCACCTGCACATCCAAACTTATACCACCCAATATTCCCAAGCAGTCACCAATCTATGTACTGACCAGGTTCAATGTTGCTTAACTTTAGTGACCGGATGAGAATCGGTGTTTCAATGTGATATGGCCGTAAACCTATGATCTACAGAAACTTATCTATCATATTCTTGAATAAATATATCCTACACCTTTTTGTTTATTAGGCATTAAACTGTATCACATATATATATATGAAAAATATATAGAAAATAGGAAAGAACTCGTTAGGTAAATAATCCAAAGTTCTTTAGTATTTTTGTTATCATTTTTAAAAAATAGTGCTTGATATAAAAGTAGAGCATAAATATAATTATTATTTTAAAAATATTTAACTGTATTACCTCGCATCAATGAACTTGCCTGACTTTTCCACTAACCTGATGAATGTTTGTGAGCACGTCTATACCAAAAAATATTTAAAAACCAATAACATTTCTTCTCTTGTTTGTAAATCAGTCAGTTAAGTGCCATATATGATATATGCTTGGTCAATCAGGTATCTTTTGATATGTGACTGACAATGCAGATTTTTTCCCCGCAGTAGATTTCCATTTCTTTCTGTGGTAGACTAGATGACAACCAAAGCTAAAGAACCCAGTCTGTCCTGCTATTCAACCCATAGCTAGTGGGGAGAAGAGATGGATTCATACTTTTCCCAAGGGTATTTGTGCATAAAGTGAATCTAATGAACACAACTGGAATTTGAACTTAGGTCTCAGAGTTCTCACTCCGAGCTGATATCCATTACACCACAACACACATCCATATATATATATATATATATATATATATATATATATATATATATATATATATATATATATAGAGAGAGAGATTGATAATATTAGTGGTAAATATACACATACATATGCAATCATATACACATACATACACATACATATATATTTGTATAAAAAATAATTCCAAGAGGATAGAATCCAGGTAGAACTCAATGTCCAAGACAGAGTAAGGATATAATAAAAATATTCCATGGTCATAATTTATTCCATTGGAATCGTAAATATGATCCAATTCATCAGACCTACAAATTCCAAAATTTGAATTTGTAGGTCTGATGAATTGGATCGTATTTGCGATTCCAATGGAATAAATTATGACCATGGAATATTAGTGCTTAAGCCTTTTTATTATATATATATATATATATATATATATATATATATATATGGTATATAAATACTTGCCACTAAATAAAATCCATACATTTGCACTGATAAAGTCCCTGCGAAGATGAAATGTGTCAATTAAGATAAGTTTTCTTTTTGTTTTATTTATATTGTCCTTTTACAGATATACTCTTATCTGAAATTTTTACACACACACACACACACACACACACACACACACATATATATATATATATATATATATATATATATATATATATATATATAATATATATAAAAATAGATTTATTTTAATCCAACTTTTTTATTACTTCAAAGGTTATTTTTAATGGATACCTGTGTTTGAAATAGATACCCTGTTTTTATTTTGAAACAAGGTGTATTACATCTATACAACACATTCCACTCAAGAAATCTTAATAAAAAAAATGGGCACTCCAGCATGGTTTGAATTTGCATTCCCATTTGTGGGAGAAACCACTGTTTGATCTGGTGTGCCTTAAACCCACTTGTCCATAGAGGCTTTTACTTCTAATTAAGGTTTTATTTTCATAAAATAGAAAATAGGTTGATAAAAAAGAAAATAGAACCTTACTGGGCTGTGACACTTTTTGTGAACGAGCAGTGAAAAGCACACCAGAACAGAATCAAACAGTGGTTTCTTCTACAAAAGGGGGAACTCTGTGGAGAGCATATTTCTTATTTTTAAGATTTCTTGAGTGTGCAGTAGAGCAATAGAGATAGCCATTATAGATATTGTTTAAAATAAAAATGGGGCATCTGCTAAAAATAATATTTGAAGTAATACACACACAAAAAAAAGCTAAATGTAAATCTTAACAAATATTATTCTGCAAGTCTTTATATGAAAAGAAATTCATTTTCTAAATGCGTAAATGAAAAACTGATATTCTTTCACTTTCTCGTTCTTCTGTTTGGTATTGTAACATAAAAGGAGTGTAAAAAAACTTGCCTAAGGTCCTTTGAATTTCTCCTAGGGAACAAGAAAATTCCATTGATAATTACATTACTGCTGCTTGTGTTAATGTACCTTGGAGGGGGTCACATAACAAATTCTTTGATGTTCATCAATGACAAAGTTCGTCACAGAGCAGGAATCCAACAAGGGCCTCTCAGGGAAGGCACCTGCTGCTTTCCCTTGGCTTTAAATACGTCTTGCAATGTCGAGCGATTGAAGTTGATAAGGTCCAGCAAAAGAGGTGTGTTGATGCCTCTTCTTTGCTAGATCTTCGCTTTCTGTCCTCGCTGTTTTCCCAACTCTTATTTCCTTAAACTTATTGAATCAAAAGCCTGTCACAAGAATCAAGGATTATGCGATCCCTCTTTCTGAAACATCCTCTGGACCATTATCAAAACTATTAAGTCTTCACCAACATTGATGCAACTCTCAAACATTTTTGGGTGCCTGAAGATTTAAAATGTTTAGCAAACTCATTTGGTTGGCAATTACTTTTGGGTAATGAGTTTGATCCTCTCTAAGTGCATTATACTTGTGGCCTTGTGCCAAACTTGGCTAAGCTTACAATAACAACTTGGGTGCATTATTGAGAAACAAGTGAGTGAACAAGTCAGATTAACTATTATTACTGAGTAGTGATTTTGATCCTTACTAGGTGACCCATTCTTGTGGTCTTATGCCAAACTTAGCTAAGCTTAGTAAATAACAACTTGGGTACATTATTGTGAGGTAGGGGTTAGCAAGCTAATCTGGTTAACCATTACTACTGAGTGATTTCAATTCTCACTGGGTGTCCCATTCTTGTGTACTTGTGCCAAACTCAGCTAAATTTAGTAAATAGCAAATTGGATGCTTTGACTTGAGGTCATGGTTAATGAGTTGGTTTGGTTGACAGCTATTGAAGAGTTTGTAATGAGTTTGTTCCTCACTAGGTGTCGCATACTCGTGGCTGTTAGCTAAACTTTTATTCTTGTTCCAATTGCCTGTAGAATATCCACATTTTCAATTACTTTCAATTATTGATTGTTCATCATAATAACAGCTACAATGAACTGATTCTTACAGTACAAGACATTTTTATTATGAAATGACCAGAACAAGCTCTATAAATGAGTTAGGTTAGTGAGCACTTCAAATGATCTGCAAGTTATACTGGTGTTCATCATGTGCTATAACTAAAGCTTGAAATGTATTATTCATCAGTTTTTTTTCTATGTTCTTTTCATTTTTTTTTATTACCTTACCACAACAAAGATGATGATAATTGTTCAGTAAATGATACATATAACTGCCCTATTCTATCAGTAATGTTTGCCTCCATTCCTGACAATTCCTTTCTGCCTGATTTTCAGTGCATTCCTATACTAATACATACATTACACATATAATAGCTCTTTTCTATCAGTAATGTTTGCATTCATTCCTTCCATCTTCAACTTTAATCTTCAAAAATTTAAATGCAATGTCAATCGTTATCTTCTGTCCTCTTAATTCCTGTTCTTTTGTTTTTCTCTCTCCTTAATGATGCTTACTTTTTCTCATATTTGCTCACATTCTATAACCCCCTTGTATCTTAGTGGTTTTATTGCCTTTCTTGGTGTAAAATGATTAAAAAAAAAATGAAGAGAGACAGATGGAAAGTGTATTTGTTTGAAGGTGAATGTAATGAACTCAACTGGAATTTGAACATAGCTCACCAATTTCACTTTCTCAGCTGCAAACAATTATACTACTTGTACACTCACATATATCTGCAGTGGAGGGGACTGACAAAAAAAAAAATTAACTGGGTGTTTGGTCAGGTGTATTGGACCAAGATTTTTTTCAGCACTTCCTTCGTATAATATATATGAACATAAACATTTATCCTTTTAAGAATTGTCACAGAAATATTTCCTATCCTGACATTTCTCTTAAGACATGAACCTTAAAATTTAAAAGAATCAACTTATTTGAATCTTATTATTCAAAACTGTATCTTAACAACAACGACGACAACATTCTAAAGGATTAATATTCACATTGCCCTTTGATTCGGACAAATGTCTTCGGTATGATTCCTGCGAAAAGCCTTCTCAAGAGATCTTTTCTTATGCTCAATTCACTCTTTTTTCCTTAAAGTCTTCATACTGGAACTGTCACTGGTGAATATATCTTTCATTTAGCTTCAAAAGGAGAGGACACTTATCGTACCATTGACTCAAGTTCTAAGAGTGGGGAAACTGTCTGGCCGACGAGCTTCCTTTGAGCCTAAAAACACAAGACATTTTATTGTCACTCGACTTAATATTCTGCTGTCATTGTGAGATGTCGGTCTGTCTGTGGCACTCGTGCAAAAAGAAGATATCAAGGAAGATCAAGTAAATAAAGGCGAATACATGAATCCATTCTTGAATGACAATGTCTGAGATGCTCATCCGTTTTGCAAAGGCTGTCTTTTAGTTGAGTTAATCCTTTAATTCTATTTGGTCTTAGACCATTTTGGAAAGCCATTGAGATACTTAGTCATACTCACGTGCATACATACATACATACATATACATATACAGATTTTCAAAACTAATATAGGCTCAAATATTTCAGCCTCTCCTTCACATATATATAGTCATCCACAGACAGCCTGTTTCACATCCCATATACACACATATAAATAATGCACACACACATAAATCTTACACAGAACACATGTAAGAAAACATTTCACCCTGTTTATATATATATATATATATATATATATATATATATATATATATATAATAAAATTTGCCATTTGGCTGATTGATGTTATATTCACCATCCTGACTCCAGAATTTTGTAGATGAAACTTTATATAATCTTGCTGCCAGGGTGTTTCAGCAATTGACTATATATATATATATATATATATATATATATATATATATATATATTTGTAAGGGCTTCTTACTTATGCAAAAATATCTCATCACCTCTTTGGTGTTGTACTTA